GTATATAAAACATGTATAATTATACAAATAGTATATAAAATATGCATTATTATACAAAAGATGTATAAAATATACATAATTATAATATTAATTATTTAAACTTGTATAATTGTTAAATAACTAATTCTAATATCTTAAAATAGTCAATTAGAATTAGTATACAAGTATATGCAGTATACTTAAAAAATATTTTTTGCCTATTTTCTATCATTTGAAAATAGCAATAATATATATTTTTATAATAAGATAACTGCTAACATTGTTTAGTATTTAGTAAACATATAGATTGTTGCACTACTAGATGTGTAATGTATAGTAGATTATTTAAGAAAATAAAATATAAGTTTAACCTTAAATGAATTTACAAAGTTGCAATTTTTTATTATTGTAAGTAATGTGAATATTAATAAGAGTGCATATAACAGAATATATGTAATAGCCAATTTAGCACTGAACAATAATAGAAAACTTCAATAACTTTTATAAGGCTTAGTTGATCAAAATAGTACTAGAAAATAAAGTCTTTAATATCAAATATGTTAATGATAATAAATGATATGATCAAAGGTAATGATAATAAATTTAAAGATAGTAATAGTATCAAATACAGATAATAATATTAAAGCTAATAATCAAAATAAGATTAGTGATAACTTTTAGTTCATGTGAAGGTTTATAATATAAATGATAATATTTGATTCTATATTAGAATATATACCAAACTGAAGTTACAAGTTAATTCAGCCTGTTAAATTGAGTCTCAATAGATTATAAAGTTACATGAATTCAAGAATTAGTTTTAAAGAGAAATTCAGATAAGTATTTTTCTTTATTGTTATTTGAGTAATGCACATTAAGCAAATTTTATTCATTTAATCACTATGCTAACTTTGATGATAGTACAAGAAGTGACAAATCATAGTATATGACAAATAAATATTTATTATATAAACTTTATAATAAATAATTATTAGTTATATTATATGATTGTTTATGTCCAAGTACCAAATTGCTAAAATTAGCATAGTAATTAATAAAGTTTTACTTACAGATTTTCCCTATGCATCTCTTATTTAATATTTGGTAGTAGACATAGACTGCTCTTTTTCATTAGATTTTGAAAACTTAGGTGCATTTATTCAGATCTCTAACATCATGCTAATATAATTAAATTCATAATAAAAATTATGTCAGAAATAGAAATTTAATAAAATTCCTTTATTTTTCTAAATTGGTATGAGTTCTAAAAATTTTAGCTGTTATTAGTAAAAATTGTATGTCTGATCAGTATTGGCTTTGAAAATTTCAAAAATCTGTAAAATTTCATGAATTTCTCGATATAAGATGATCTGTGTCTAGTGATGGGCCACATGTGGCATCTGCACAGAAACTCACATAATTTTTAATATAAGATTATTTGGTCTGCATTAGCATATCATATGGCCTGCATTAAATATTATTTGGCCTGCATTAACATTAATGGGCCAATTTCTAAGACTGGAGTAAAATTGCAACTAGGATATAATTATCACCCTAAAAAGTTTTAAGACCAATCAAATTTCAAGATTAGGTGTAACATAACATGTATAGAAAAATTTAAAACAAATGTTCATTTTGTTAAAAAATCTTATAACCTAAAATTTTGTCTATGAAACTTTCTTTTACACATTAATAAAAAGTTTTTTTTGTGAAATTTTGCTATAATAAATAATTTTAGAAACCAATCTAATAGCAAAATCTAAACCTTAACTTAAAAAAACAAAATTTTACTTAAAACTTTTTAGGATAGTGATTCTACTCTTGTTTAAAATCACTACTCAAAAAAGTTTTAAACATTACATAACAAATATATTAAGCACTAAAAATTCATTTAGCTTAACAAAAAAATATAACTAAAAAAATTTAAACAATAAGTAATAAATCAATTATTTTATTAATTTCAAATAATTTAATAAATGTATTATTTATTATTACAAGATTTAAATTGATGTAAAATGATTTTTTATATAAATTTTTAGTACTTGATATATTGTTATATGATGTCCAAAACTTTTTTGAGTGGCTATTTTACCTGGTCTATATTTCTATATATGTAGAATTTTTTATTTGTTATTATTCTATAAGCATGATAGAGTTTTGTTTTAATTAGTTATCAATCCTGATCTTCAAATTGAACATGATTGGTTGATATATTGTAACTTATAATATTTGTTATATGAAAAGTTTTATTTAGGTAATATAACAAAGCCACAGTTGTTCATATAACTAGATAATAGTTTTTTATTAATATGTTTTTCAGATTCTAAGGCACCTTTTAAAACTATGAGATCTCTATAGATCAAATAGAAAAAGGTAGTTTAATTATATGCAAATATTAGAAAAAATGTTACTTTTTTCAATTTAGTAGTTAACAAATTTCTTAGTTGCTTGCATAACTAAAAGTTTTTTTATATTACTAGCAATTTTTTTATACTTAAGGTACTTTTAATTCAACTAATTTAGTTATATGTAAGATGTGAATATGGCATGAATACATCTTAAAATTAATAATTTATTGAGGTAAAAAAAACTAGCAATTATGTTTTATGTTACATTTTTAATTCATTACGTCTATCTATACTATCTAACTAGATTTGTAAATCTATTATAATTTTATTTTCTTGTACTTTTTTATGTTCTTCTGTATCTTTTTCTAAATCTTGTAACTCTTTTTCAAGTCTGTTATTATCAGTAAGAGTGTTAGCTCCTTTTTCAAGAATCTCTAAAAATAAATTAATGTTCTTGTATATTCTATTCTTATAGTACTCTTTACATTGTCAACAACCATTTTCTATTCTACCATAACAATACTAATAAAAACTATATTTACAAATCAACACAGTTTCATTTCTATTTTTGCTTAGCATTTTATAACATTCATCACAAAGTTTTGGTAAAGGAGGCATTTTGGTACTGTAGCCTATTGGTAAAGATATAATATTAACATCTTTACATAGAATGACAAGTTTATATTTTAATGGTCTCTGTTTTTTTTTTTTACTTTTTATTTTTATTATTTATAATAGTCATTATACTAGAGACTATACTAATATTTTAAAAGATTTGGCAAAAGTAATTCAATAAGAATACTAATATTTTGTTTACTAGGTATTCCAATGTAAAAGGAGTATATAGATATCTTTTTTTTATATTAAATGCTTCTTTAAATAGTAAATATTTATTTGTATCTTTTTTTTTTAAAAAAAAATAGTTATATTATTATTAAAATTATTGTATTATTTTAAAATAAAGAATTCTTTTTGTTTTTTTAACTTATCTAGAATATATGTCTGTTGAATAACATTTTTAGAACTATTATAAGCTAATATATTTGCTTATATTCAGCTATAGAAGTTTTTAATAAAATAATTATTGAAGTTTACAAGAAACATTTTAAAAACATCTAACATTAGAATTTTTTAATTCTTCTAATAAAAAATGTTTAACAAGAATGCCAAAGAAGTCTTGTTGTAATTTTTATAATTCTAATGCAGAACAAAAGTTTATATTCGAAAAATAGATTTAATATATTTATCAAAAGAGCCTAAGTAAAAAAAAACAACATATATATCTAAAGTTGCTAGAATAATATTATTAAAAAGATCAACTAGAATTCTATACTCAATGTTTTTATATATAAGATCAAAATTTGTTTAATATTCTTACTTTTATTTATAACCATCTCTGATAGGCAAGTTTAAAGAGAAGGTTTATCCTCTATAGTTTTGGCTTTTTTACAAGATTATTTTGTTCTTTGGAACCTGAAAGTTTTTTTTGTTTTCTAAAAACTGTATAAAAGGTTTTTTTTAAAAAAAGTAATAAGTTATTATAACTTGCTTTCAACTATTTAATGAAATATGAAGTGGATCTGAAATAGGTATAAAGACATTGAGAGCTATCAGTATTGCTATATTTTGATTATATAAATAGTTAATGCCTTTCATATAAAAAGTTGTTCAGATCAGTTTACAACTACTAGCATTATATAGTTATTCAGATAATTAATATCTTTATTTATTAAAAGAATTATCTCTAATACATTTATATAATCATCTAATAAATAGAATTGACTTTCTTTAAATCCAACTAATCATACTTCTTTTATATTTCTTTCATTTTAATGGTTTGTAATAGCTTCATCAAAGTAATGAACTGTTAGAAGATCAATTTTATCAAAATTAATTTGTATATTTTTTTGTAAAATAATCCATTAATTCTTTCTTTGTGTATATAAAAGATCAAAAATTTTATAGTACTTTGTAATTAAATATAAACAAATTAAAAATTGTCAATATTAACAGAATGATGAACTAAAACACCATTATAATTTATAAAAATTGGTGTATATTTAGAAACTTTTTTACTAACACATGTTGCAAAGTGAATTAAAGCTGAGAGAGATACAGTATCTAGATGTCTTATTGTATATATAATATAATAATCATTAAGATTATATATAAAAGACTATTATAATAAATAATAATAATAAATTATTTAAAAAATTACAATTTGAATCTTAATGAATATTGCAACACTATGGTTATAGAGCTTTGACCAAAGATACAACAAAACTGAATTAGTTTAATTGATCATTCTTAATCTTAAATACAGATAATAAGTTATTAAATTTACTTTTTCAGCAAAATATTTTCAAATATTTTTTAGATATATATTAACTAATTTTTTTATAGTTTTTGACAGTTTTGTAACAGACTGAAAGGCCAACTTTATACAATGTATTAATTGCATTATATGAAGCACCAGATGCTGCAAAGTATAATCCAATTTTTAGAAAGTAACTATTTACAAATTTATTTCATATTCTTGCTATTGAATAATATATATTAACAATTTTTTTTATCATCATTTTTATTATAAGTAGATCATCTGTCTGGAATAAATCCATTATATAGTTCATTAAAAAATCTTTTTAATAACAGTTCTGAATTTTCTAGCATTATTCAAAAAATATCTAAGTTTAATTCAAGGGTTTGATTTTCTTTTCTTTGCTTTTCATATAACACTTTTGTTATCAGAGTAATCTTATCACCAAAAGATAATAGTTTAAGAATTATTATATTGTGAGTCAGTAAAGTATCATTGTCCTTATAATTAGAAGATTCAGTGATATATATGCTGTTAGCAGATGACTTATTTTTATCATACTGATCAGGTTCAATGATGCTTAGATAATGAGGATAACATAACTGCATTTCAATTTCTAAATAATTATATTGATTTGAAATATCTTTTGCTTTTATTTTTGCTAGTACGTAATCAGTAATTCTGCGATATTGATTCGAATTTGTTTGACAATCACGAATTGAACAAGAACCATAATTTTTTTTTGAAAACATTGTATATCTTAAGGTAAATTGCTAATGACTACGAAATAATGGGCTCTCGATATAATGGGTACTAAGCAAAATCCTGATATAACAGGTATATGCTATACAATAAAACAAGCTATGTTCGTATGTGCGTAATGATCCATTTTATTGGCTAAGTGTCACGTGGTTACATGAAATCGGTATTTTCGTAGATCACAAATATTGGCCAATAAAAACAAACTTCCATCATGCTCATTCTATATATATATGCGTATACTTGGCAAAAAAATTTTTTTGGCCGTTGGTAGTTCTTACTTACTATTCCTTTATAATAAATATAACCATTATTAAGTCATTCTTTAAACAACATTATTAT